AAGTAAAGACAAAGAATTGACATGGCTGTTTTGAAATAAATTCAAAGTTTCGGACTTCAATCAGCACATGGTTTTTTTGCCAACTTGTCACACACTTTAATATAACATGGTTCGAGTTGTCAAGGGTATGATCTGAAGTGAAACAAAAATTACTTCAAGTTAGTGCAAGGTTCTAGTTATAAATTAGTGAGGGTTCGAGTTATCGGAAGTCAACTGTATTGGAGACTCGTGAGCTTATTATGCCTTTTAACTTTCGGTGCATGTGACAAACATCCTCCATGTTGCTAGGACTGGAACACTGATAGCCATCTTTGGAGACCCAGGGGCAGTCAGTCGGGTCAGGAGAAAAGGCGGGACAAAAGTTTTCAAGTAAGGGCAGAAGAGCCCCCTGGGTACCAACTCTCACTGAACTATTTCCAAAAATTCAAGCAGATGCTGGCTCCTGATTGGGCACAAAAATGCTTTTTATTATGGTGCCCAATTGGTGAACAGTTTCTCCTGAGTTCTTTTCGTGAGTTCATACACAACTTCTATTGTCTCGCCACACTTGCCTGGTTCGTTCACCAAGCTTGTGCGTGCAAGAGAAACTTTTATTTTCTACTTTCCTAACCAGAAACGAAGGAACTACCAATGAGTCGAAAAAACGTTTGGGATGCTATTAGCAGGAGCAGTTGAAATTGCCCCGAGAATATTCTGTTTTTGAAGGATCACAATGTATCATAAATAATAGCAAGTTTAAGATGCGTTGACGATGAGAAAGTCAAATAAACAATAGCTTGACAAGGCAAAACAACAACTTTCCACGTGCATCACACTTTTTTGTACATTTCTCTGCCATCAACTGCACGACTACCTGTGAAAATGCCTAATTTCATGTTTTGTGAAGGACGTAAACAAGCAACGACAAAATTCATTCTCTTCATAAACTTGGATATGGTTGAAAGAAATTCAGCTCCAGAAGAGTCTGCTTGCATTTGACAAAGTAAGCAAGTTAGAATAATCATGATAGAGACTGAAAAAAATATGAATTCACTTTTCCATGTGAGGTTTTCATGGCTGTCAGCCGTCGTGGTATCTTTTAAAAACACTCTATAAATATTTACGCAAATTAGACGTGGCCGATGCAAGCATGAATACCTTTTGTAAGCTGAAGCTTGTATTTTTGGAAAAGCGTCTTTAGTTTTCAGGCAGACAGTATTTTGAAATCAGATGGGGATTTTATATCAAACTGAAAGTTTCGTGACTGCGTTTATTTCTTTGGTGCATGAGCGAGACAAGCCGTGATCGAGACAATAGCTGTTGTGTATAAACTCATGAAAAGAACCCAGGAGATGTTTTCGCTGATTGAGCACACAATAATACAAAGCATTTTTTGTGCCCAATCAGGAGCCCACATCTGCTTGAATTTTTGGAAATAGTTCGGTGAGAGTTGGTACCCAGGGGCTCTTCCACCCTTACTTGAAAACTTTCGTCCCACTTTTTCTCCCAACCCGACTGACTGCCCCTGGGTCTCAAAGGATGGCTGATAGCTTACCTACTCATAATTGATATCAAATAAAAATTATCATAAACTGCGGCTTATGAGCCTCCAATCATAGACCCATGTACAAAGATACAATCATGTGATTTTATTATCCCCCCTCCCGCCCCTCCGCTCCCCTTCCTCTTTCTTGTATTTTAATGAATTCAGCACTACTATTGCTTGTTTTGAAGGGCTTTTTCTACTTCGGTCATCAGCCCCCTTGCGTATAAGCCCCTTCATTACAAAGATGTATAAGCCCATTATTAATGAGAAATTTGTAAGCCTGGTGAGTAATAAAGTTGTGAGAAATGATGTGCTGATGAATGATGATGTGAATAGTTACACAAGCAACTTGGCAGGAAAAAAAAAAGTTCTTGTATCAGGGACCAATTATCTACAAATTACTGTCTACTAGTCCAGATGCTCTACCACTGAGCTACAAGACAATCTTGATTCACTAAATTCTCTTTTCTGTACTATCATATATGTATCATTTAATGGTCCTGCATTTGCCTTTGATTCTTCAAAAATTAATGGTTCTTCATTTAATGTAAAGGATCAGCAAATTGATGCCAACAAACTGCAGAGATATTTATCAAGCTCAGGATTTTTTGGAAGTTACTATCGTAAGTATGATTTTATGTATTTTCATGCATTGATTTTGTTTGATAATATTTATTTCTGTTGAATCTTGCCCCCACACAAGCAGATATTGGCCAAAATGTGGCCAGGTTTGTTCCTTTTTGAGCCAGGCAAAGTAATGGGAAAAGTAGAGCTGGAGATTAGACATCATATTATTATTTTTAGTTACTATCCAGAGACAAAAATTAATACGATAAATTGTGCCCTATATTACATGAACCAGGATGAATAAAACTTAACTGTCATTATTAAATATATAATTTGTTTTAGTCTTGACAAGGTTGTAAGAAATATACCTATCAAATTATACTCTTTCTATTTATTTTATAATGTGTTAAATTGAAAGAGGGGCCCACATAGTACCTCAGTATAGACTGGTGGAGAGAAGCGATGGCCTGAAATACATTTGTACATCTGCATTCGCAGGCTAACCTCAGTAGAAAAATACTGCATTTTATTCTTTTAAAAAACCCAAACAATTAAACAATAATTTTAAAAAGAGGTTTGCCAAAAATGTAGTTTCTGTTATGAAGAGTTCTAGTGTCCTCAGTGGTTTGGTCTAGCTGTCAGGATACATGTATGTCAATATTGCCATTTGCATTGGATTGTATTACTCCGGGTTGTCCGAAGCTGGGTTAAGATAACCCAGTGTCAGTGCCAAATTTGAATTCAGAATTTATGAAAGCTTAAAAAAGCAAATTCATTCTAATAGGCCACTTGCACTAAGAGGTCACATGTCCAATGCTTCCTTTAAACATTGACTTGGAATCTTGCTGATGCCAAAAATAGTCAAAGCACATAAAAATTATCTTACACCCGAAATTTGAGAGGAAACACATTTTAAGGGAAATATTTTATTGCACTTTGATTTTTCAACAAAGTAGTATGATTTCTATTGGCGGCCATGTTAGAGGTCATAGCAGCCCTCCATCATGGCGGCCAGAACTACTTTTTGCTTGTATCTTGTTAACCGTTTGATAGTTACGCTCAGTTATGCAGAAAATGTTACCACATCATCTTTTCAACAATTTCCTTGAAGTTTAAGTGCAAAATTTCTGTTCAGAAAGAGGGAATTCGTAGTTTTAAAAATCACACTTTGGTCACGTGACCAGCTACGAACTTACTGATTTTAAGAAAATGGAGTTTGAAAAACTAAATTACTATTATTTTGTTTAAGATATGACCCACTTATGGTTTTTCGAAGGCAAAATCATAAAACAGTAACGTTATTTTCATAGAAATGATGTCACATGATCTCTTAGTGCAAATGGCCTATCTATTCTTTCTGTCTACAATTTGATGATTGGATACTCTAAAAAGAATAGGGAAAATTATGCGAGAAGATGCTTTTCAACAAAAGAAAAAGAAACCAGATGAAAATTTAACTCCGGGTTAGTGATGATCGGCCATCAGACAACTGTTCCCTGTATGTCTAAACCTGGATACTTTAATGAGTTCCTTGAATAGATCAAGTGATCCATGTACACATTGTATTGTAGTTGGTTTTCCATATTAGTGGTAATCATGGCTATTTTTCTTCCTTTTTATGTCGTTTCAATGCTCAGCATTCAGCTTGGAGACTTGCAGGTTTGTATAATCTTTGTATGACAACACTTAACAAAATGTTTTGAAATAAATACAGTGAATATCATTAGAGGTAAAGATGCAACTTAAGCAGGTGCAAAAAAAAAAGCAGGAAAAAATTCAGGTTTGCTGGGATTCAAACCCTAATCTCTGTGTTACTGTTGCAGCAGCGCTCAGCCAATTAAGCTAACACGCCTACTAGGAGGTTGTCATTAAATTGGTTTGTAATATACCCCCAGGAAAGCGAAGTTGAAATGAATGTTTTGATTATGTTTTGAAGTTGCTTACATTCAGATCAGTTGCAGACATTGCATATGTTGCAACTAGTGCAAAAATGTCGTGTTTGCTAATTTAATTATTCTTAAAAAATCTGTTTTCAGCTTATTTCCAAGAATGCTGCTAACCGTCAGCAATTGCATTGCCCATCCTTCAAACCCCAACCTCACTCATGAGGTCCTTACATGGCCAACTGACTACTGCATTCACTATATTTATACCACATCAATTCTTGTGCGCAACAAATTATGGCTCTGTATTATCTTCTAGACAGCAGCTTTAGATCAGTGCATACTGTATTTTTGGTGACTGCCAGGAACAATCTTACACATCATTTACTTAGAATGTTTAGGGTAATTTTATTAATTCTATTCTTTATTTCATGTTACTTTTGGCAGGTTAATGATCACCATGTTAAATGTATCCTTGAATGCTGAATTAAATTTCCTATACACATCATGTAAGCTTGTCTAAAATGTCATCATCTGACTCTTCGCCTTGCCGCTTTGGGGGGTTGGGGCGAAGTGGTGGATGTCATTTCAGCGTACATGTAAGCATAATAATATTTTGTCATCAAGATAAATACTGTCTTTGCTTGAATACATGTGTTGTTGACCAAAGAGAGGGGACTAAGACTTTTGTTTAAAACTGAAAAATTTATGTGATACGAAACATAACAAAATTGATTAAAAAAGCAAACAAAGATAACAACAAAAAACAACTAAAACAGAAATGTGAAAATATGGGAACTGCCATGATCATTTAGTTCGTACGAAACCTGTGTGAAACCACTCATGCCAATGATGTAAATGAAAAGGAAGAAATCTTTCCAGTAGTCAAGTAGGCCTCTTTTGTTTTCCTCCCATTCATTTTTAGTTTTCACGGCAATGCATAAAAGTATATTGTGGGAGTATTATCAGTACTATATTTCATATTTTGTTTACAATATAAAATGGCTTTCTTAACAACTGAGTAGCGAGTCTTCAGCGGCAAAATTGGTTTCAATGAATTCAAGTCATTGTTGATACTACTGACACAGTGGAAGGTAACCTTAATTAACAATTAATGAATGAGGCCGAGTATCTTATGAGGAATTATGGAGATCTAGGAGGGTGTTATCTGTCGAGGCTGTAGGCCGAGGCGGATAACACCCTCCGAGATCTAGACTGCAAAACAGTCGGTTTTTTTCTCAAAATCAGTAAAGAAATCGGCAAAGCGTGGCGTAAGAGTCTTACGCGCGCGAGGCGCGCGAGCCTCACAGGCCCGTAGGGCGTCTCTTCCCAGTCTCGCTCTCTGTTTTCAGCTTCGTTCCAGACCTTTTGTTTGACTGCTCGCGCGTACTTGAATACGCAAAAATACTGACTGTTTTGCAGTCTATCCGAGATCTCCATAATTCTTCATATGATACGAAAGCCGAATTCAATAATTGTTTTATCATTCATTCAAAATAATTCCTAGTTTAAAAACATGGCCAAAACATGCTTACCTCCATCGATCCATCGATGTTAAGTTCATCTTCGATAGTGCACGTTTAGGTTTGTCCATCTCCGCAAATATTCTGCAAATAGCAGACGTCGCCCTTCGAGTTGTCTTCTTGCTGTTCTTGCCATGTTTTTAGCTATTTTTTCGCCTAGTTCTTACTTTTGAAACGAGTGAAATGACCGCCATTTTTGTTTCCACAACCAAAACAACTCAACCTCGTCCCCAGGTCTTCTCGTTTAACGGTGCCTTAACCTGCAAGAACGCTGCATTTTTGACGTCATTTCCTGGCTAAACACAAAATTCTTCCAAATTTGGTCATCAGTAACTGGTTATGGTGAATTAAACGTGTGCTTTTAGCCAATCGGAATCGGGGAAATATTTTGAATGAATAATAACACAGATTATTACTGCGTTTCTTCAAAATAATCAGCTGGGAACTATGTTCACACTATGCCGGATAGCTTTTGCACCGCCGATTCGAACACCATACCAGATAGAGCTTTTGTTCACAAGTAAGAATATTATGACTTCGGCGCGATTTTTTTAACGGAGTCAAGCTGCGTAGCGCCAATCTCTAGATTGGCGAGTCACGTATCAGATAGGTGTTCACACTACACCAGAGATAGCTTTTCGTGTCGGCATGAAAAGCTATATGGTTTAGTATGAACATAACCTAACACAACAGGTGTGGTTTTGGTGGTAGTGACTTTGACTTGTTGTAGACTTTTTTTAGCAATTTATTTGTAAATGATAAAATGCATTGTTTCCGTAGGGTCTTTTTAGGGAGTGTAGCTATGACGAATCGGAAACTTTAGGACCACTTGAGCTTCAAGCTGCTATGGCTAACTTTGGTAAGGTCCTGAGTGGCTGAGTGACACTTTATACGTAGGTGTATGTAGTGATATCAAAAATAATTCGCCATGTTTAGTGTACCCAATCAACTCTTAACACCAATAGTCAATCAAAAATAATAAAGGTGAACGTCGCATGTTCACCGTTTAGCCCGGTTTTTTTTTCTGTTTCTGTTCGTGCGATTGTTTGGTAAAGCCGCATTAAGAGCCACAAGGGCTTCTCTCTTCTGTGTATGCATTCAAGCTAACTGCTCTCTCCAAAAAGAAAACCTCAAAGATGACTTAAGTTTAAGTGGAACCTTTTTTTTCGCTAACACTTGAAACGTGAGCACCGCACCTAAATTGTAGGATTCTTATTTGTCTTCGTCAGGTTATGGTTCGAATCCTAACATCTTGAAGAACATTCTCGAGCGATACTCTACTAATCACCGAATCAGCTTTGACGGTTTCGTAGCCTGCTGTGTGCATCTAAAGTCCTTAAAAGGTATGTGCAGACACAAAATGCCTGGCTGAGTGATCAGCTCCTCGGAGTCTACACTTCGAAAAAGTCCTTCGTCCTTTGTAAAATAGGCCCTTGGGAGCTGTCGCAACACCGTTGTTCGCTCGCATCTACGCGGCCTAAAAAGCTTGTTCTGCTTGCTTTACAGCTTTTCTGCTGTGAAACTCGTGAGGTCGACTTGTAGCAAGCCTAAGCAATAGGTTTAGGGTCGTTTTACTTGTACGTGGAGGTAGGGGACCCCAACCCGCCTGTCCATATAATCTCTCATATGCATAAATTGCATGGTTCCCGAAAGAAAAGAAATAACAGCGGTTTGTGTTTTGACATCTCGTTTATTCAGTCATTCAAGATTAAGTTCAAGTTAAATCGCTAAAAAATGGTCATATTTTTTTGTTGTTTTGCTTCGGAGAATTTATTTTCAGCTCTCATGAGTCGGAAAGGTGCTGAACTGTCCACAGAGATGAAAGAATTAATTATTACTCTGTCGGAATCCGTGAAAAACAAAGCGGAACTGTCAAGAATGTTGAACATTCCAAGAACGACTATCATGAGCGTTCTAAGCAAGTACCGAAGGACTGGCACAGTGGAGACTTTGACGCGAAGTGGCAGGAAAAGGAGCTTCACAAAAAATGCTTTAAAGCGTTTGGTTAACAGTAACAGACGACTTACCGTACAAGCCCCAGTTGTTCTAAAGGTGGATAGCGCTATCCGGTGGATAAATCTTTATCCAGTGGACAGTGCAAATTGTTTCCCAAACACTTATCTGCTGGATACTGATTTATCCAGTGGATAGCGCTATCCAACGTTTGAGCAACCGGGGCCAGGACATTACTGCAAAGCTAAACGAGTGCAAAACAAAGACTTTCAGCCAGAAGACCGTGCAAAGGGTGTTGCATTCGGAAGGATATAAAAGAAGGCTATCGAAAAAGAAAATAGTGCTTCGGGAAGCGAATCAAAAAAAGCGAGTCAAGTGGTGTAAAGAGCGAAGAGGTCGCACAGTAGACAACTACTGGGAAAAAGTGTTTTCAAGCTTTTTCAGATGGAAGTCAGATTGTGCTCGGTACAAACAACGAGGGTTGTCCAATACTGTCGACGTGATACGAGTGGACAGGGTAAACTGTGGAGTGGACAAATGCATCCCATTAAGAGGACTTAGAAATTTCCTAGCTTGTCTTGTTGGTAAGCTGTGACCCCGTGTAATGGTAGTCGAGTCGTACGAGCCGTACTAGTTGAGAAAATGCTTGTCCACTTGAGGCACAGTGGAGACTTTTGACGCGAAGTGGCAGGAATAACCTGAGATCAGGCCCAATTTTAGCAGTTCTCATACATTCTCTCTAACGCCTATTTACAAAGCGAAACGAAAATTGAGCCTGATCTCAGGTTATGGCAGGAAAAGGAGCCTCACAAAAATGCTTTAAGGCGTTTGGTTAACAACAACAGACGACTTACCGTAGCAAGAAAACCGTGCAAAGGTTGTTGCATTCGGAAGGATATAAAAGAAGGTTAGCGAAAAAGAAAATGGTGGTTCAGGAAGCGAATCGAAAAAAGCGAGTCAAGTGGTCTAAAGAGCGAAGAGGTAGAACAGTAGACAACTACTGGGAAAAAGTACTATTTTCAGATGGAAGTCAGATTATGCTCGGTACAAACAATGAGGGTTGTCCATTACTGTGGGATCTTTGCTTATAGAACGAGGCATACACAGTGTGTAGCGTGCTTGTTCCTTCACGTGGCTTTATGTCAGATCTTTGCCTACAGAACGAGGCATACTGACAGGGGTTTCAATAAGCACCGACGGCCGACGAAACACGTTGGATACTTTCCTCATAGAGGTCGGCTACTTTTTTACAGAAAGAAGGAGCAACTTGATTGAATAACGTTATAAACAAGAAATATATCATAAAATCTGAATGAAAACGTAATTATGATTTGTTTTCCGAAAGGCCCACTGGCTTTACGTTATGCTGGAGTCATGTGAACGCTATATTTCAGTCATTTTTTCAAAAGTTTCTTACAGATTTACGCAGCATTTGTTTACGAGCAAAAGTACGTAATTTAGTTTTCATCATTTGTTCATTGCTCTTAGGAATTGATTGGGTGACTGGTAACTTGAAAGCTACATTTTCTTGAATGAAAAACACTCTTTTGTCCTCAAATTTAGTCCCCACAACGCTGAAAATCGCATTTTTAGGGCTTTGAAATTTCAAAATTTTCTGAGGCGGAACGGGCTTAGACCCTCCTCCTCCTCCACTAAAAAAGAGGACCAACGGCCCCTTGTTGATACAATAGGTTACTCTGTCCAAACCGCTGGCTACTTCAATTTATATTGAAACCCCTCCATACACAGTGTGTAGCGTGCTTGTTCCTTCACGTGGCTTATGTCGAATCTTTGCTTATAGAACGAGGCATACACAGTATTTAGCGGGCTTGTTCCTTCGTGTGGCTTATGTCGGATCTTTGCTGATAGAACGAGGCATATACAGTGTTCAGGGCGCTTGTTCCTTCGCGTGGTTTAAGTCGGACCTTTGTTTAAAGAACAATGAATATACAGTGTGTAGCGGGCTTGTTCCTTCGCGTGGCTCATATCATTATGGGATCATTGCTTATAGAACGAGGCATACACAGTGTTTAGGGCGCTTGTTCCTTCGCGTGGTTTAAGTCGGACCTTTGTTTAAAGAACAATGAATATACAGTGTGTAGCGGGCTTGTTCCTTCGCGTGGCTCATATCATTATGGGATCATTGCTTATAGAACGAGGCATACACAGTGTTTAGGGCGCTTGTTCCTTCGCGTGGTTTAAGTCGGACCTTTGTTTAAAGAACCATGAATATACAGTGTGTAGCGGGCTTGTCCTTCGCGTGGCTCATATGGGATCATTGCTTATAGAACGAGGCATACACAGTGTGTAGGGCGCTTGTTCCTTCGCTTCTGTTTGCGTAGAACGAGCTTCCACTCGACAACTCTGTCTGTTAGGTTGAGACAACTTGTCCACTCGTGCGACTCCACAACTTAGTTGCCGTCCCTAGTAAACTAATGAGATGCATTTTCCACTCAACAACTTGTCCGTTCGTACAAGTTGTGAAAGTATTTTTGCACTGGTATCATGTCGACAGTTTTGGACATAGCTGGTCTAGTGGGATATTAGGTGAATAATGTTAATAATGATGATTGATGTTCCATATTCTAATTGCTTAAATGCTACCCTCAATTAAATGTTGGTACATGGTGTTGATTAAATGCTGAGATTGAAACAAAATTCCAAATAAACACCTTCCTCGAATAATTGATGCACCCAATCAGAAGAATACAGCATTTATTGGAGGATTAACAATGGTAATTGGACTTAGTGGAGTTCATTATTTTATTTGGTGTGAAATTATACCAGCGATGAAGAAAATGAGATGAGTGCATGGCAGGAGTCCATTATGTTAATCACGAGTATGATTTCAGAATGAATTGGATGACACGAAGTTCTGTTACCAATCTGTTAGGCTTTTTTTCAATTTAAACCACAAGAAATTTTGAGAGTTTTTTGGTAGCAGTGAAAGAAAGCCATTTAAGCGCGAGTGTGATGACGCGTACTGTCCAATGACTTAGGCATGATTCATTCTGTCCTATTATTGCTGAAATCAGGACAGTTGATAGCCAATCAGGTTTGAGAATTTCGTTGTAGTTATGATTGTACGGAAAACTCGATACAACTTGCCAGTAATCTACACAATCCAGACAATTAGGACTCTATCTCAGCACAAAAGGCAAGAGCAAGACATTGGAACTTAAAACATCTTAGTTTCTGTTTTACACATGGAATATTTACTAATAGTTTATTATAATTTCTGTATTCAAAATGAAATAACATAGAAACATCGGAAAAGGACTCTTTTGTTAAATGAAAATAATAGGGTAGCATAATGAATGGATTTTTTCGTCAGAGGGACAGAATTTGAAATCATCGATGGTACGCTCCTACCCAAAATGAGTATGCTACAAAGTTTCTTTGAATAAACAGGTGAATCAGACAGCAGGTCTGTTCATACCAGAGCTGACTTCTTTGATTCTGTTTTCTTGTGACCATCTCTCATTTACAATCACTTACACTGCTTTCTGGTATTGGCATTTTGGGTTGTCGCTTATGGGAGCCTTAACTGTAGTATTATCGCCAATAAGCATCCTCGCAAAGACATGAGGCTGCTAGGCGGCAGCCTAATAGAGCCGTGCGCGAAAGTTCTAAAGGGAGAAAAAATTTCGAATCGATGTAACATATAGTAATGTAAGGTAACTTTTATGACATAATCCAGAACAGCGAATGCATTGTTTTCGATCGAACACGTGATACAGAACAGAGAATCCACGAGCCTTGGGCGTGCTTGAGAGTTCCGTGTTCATCCTGTCTTTAACCAATCGTTGGGTGGATTCATTTGCATCATATGGGTATGGCTGCGCATTTGCCTGCTGCCAAGGAAAAAAATAGTGCCGCAAGTTTTTTTGTGTTCTTGAAGCAAAATAATTTGGAAGGCTTCATTGGCACACCATAATTTTTTTAGCTTTAAAAAGAGACCAAAATAATAGAAAATAATCTGTACGTTGAATATTTTTTGGAGGATTTTAGGTTTGCTTAATAAATAAGACCACTAAATTTTATGCAAAATGGCCTGTGCACAACTTCGGAAAAAAACACACACTTTTAGTATCTCAAAAATATGCTATGTAAAGTCGAGATTTCAAATAGTTTAGTTCACTATTTTCAAGGTAATTTTTGCTTACGCGATCAAATTAAGGTGACTCGACCCAGTTATTTTGTGGGGGTACCATCCTACTTTGAAGCTCTCTGGTATCCCCACCTTTACTTTGGTCGTAAGTCCAACATATAGCATGGATAACATATAGATCAATCTACAATATAGCATAAAATTTTTGGCGATCGGAGTAAATGTCACGTGGTTATAGTGCCACACCCCTTTCGGGTCTGAGCGAAATTCTGCTGTTGCCGGCATTTCTTCGTGAAAATCTCTCGGCTACACATAGTGCGCATTAGTGCCTTACGTTGAACAGAGTTTCACCAAAATCGCAAAGACCCAATTCGAGAAATTCAGCGGTTTGCAAATTTAGGTCATAATTTATGTTAGAACGATAAGCAAACTTTACACGATTATATTTAATAAACTATGAGATTTATCCCTTTATTTTGGGGATCTTTATAACAGGTGGGTCCTTGCAAGTCAGTAAAAAGCTTTAGGGCCTTGTAAATGCGCGCGATTTCAAGCAATGCAAACATATAGAAATTAGAGTTTTAGCTATTTGTTGACGTTTGTAGGCGTTTAAGAGTCCTTCTCACGAAAAAAAGCATTTTCTTAAAAATTCGTAGTTTTTTTCCCTTCAAATTTTTTCAGGGCCACAATTGATTGTCTAACTACCCGGATTCTGAATTTCATGGTCATTGAAAAACTGTGACATTATCTTCTATAACGCCAAACTTGAGTGAACATTGAAGATTTTAAGCGTTTTGGTTGAGTTTGTGCTTTGGGAGGTTTCTATTGTTTCTAGTCTGTCACGATACAGCATTCTTGTTCAGCACGCGTGCAATGACCGCACTTGGCTGACTTCCTCTAACTTGATTACCTTTCAGTATTCTTTTATTCAGAATCAAAAAAGTTGTACAGTGCTAGAAAACATACTTATTTTGTATTGGAGCCCTCATATTGATATATTTATATCAGAAGTTTCTACACTGTACATACAGTACAGGGCACGGGCATTGCAGCGTTACACGCGTGTTTCATGCGTGGAAATCCGCCATATTGCACGCAAATTCCACGAGAATGTTATGTTACGTTATGTTATGTTATGTTAATATGTATGTTACTCAAGTAAACCCAGTTTCTTGTGGTCTTGGACTAGTGTCCAGACGACTGCGAAGGTAAACACTGATACTGTCAATCAATATCACAGATCAGCCTGAATTCACTAAACACCCACGGAGTCAGACACTGGTGCAAGGATCACATGCAACCTTCTCAAGTGATGCAAATGGCTTTCCTGAACCAACGTTTTCTTGGACCAAAAATGGATCTGCTGTTACTGCCAATGACAGAATTAGTTTATCAGCGGATAACAAACAACTGAGTATTACAAATTTGAATAGGACAGACAGTGGAGAATACAGATGTGTGGCTGCAAACAGTGTGGGCGCAGTTTCCTCCAATTCTGCTACATTAGCAGTACATTGTAAGAAAACTTTTACTCACTTTTTATCTACTGGTAAACCCAATTGAAAAATCTTCTAGCACTAAGTAAAACATCTTTTACATTCTTTACACTGGTCCTATCCTGGTCAGGATTGTCTCAGTCAATCCATATGAGTGCTGCCTTTCAAAAAAGGGGCTTGTCAGATGCTCCTCTAACTTGATTACCTTTCAGTATTCTTTTATTCGGAATCAAAAAAGTTGTACAATGCTAGAAAACATAATTATTTTGTATTGGTGCTTGTTTTTGCTAATCAAGGGAGCCCTGTCTGTTTCCTTATTTATATTAATATATTTATATCAGAAGTTTCTACACTGTACATATGTTACTCAAGTAAACCCAGTTTCTTGTGGTCTTGGACTAGTGTCCAGACGACTGCTAAGGTAAACGCTGATACTGTCAATCAATATCACAGATCAGCCTGAATTCACTGAACACCCACTGAGTCAGACACTGGTGCAAGGATCACATGTAACCTTCTCAAGTGATGCAAATGGCGTTCCTGAACCAACATTTTCTTGGACAAAAAATGGATCTGCTGTTACTGCCAATGATAGAATTATTTTATTAGGGGATAACAAACAACTGAGTATTACAAATGTGAATAGGACAGACAGTGGAGAATACGAATGTGTGGCTACCAACAATGTAGAGACAGTTAACTCCAATCCTGCTACGTTAACAGTACAAGGTAAGCATATACCTTTTACTGGCATAGCTTAGCCCAATCAGTGTGCAAAGGCCACTTCATACCTGCACCAATAACCTGTCTATCATGTCCTTTTTGGTAGCTGGAAAACTTTTGCTTGACGATAATATTTCGTTTGGAATAAAAACCATTCCACCAGTGTACTACAGAAACACCTGGAAGACTGTCAAACATGCCAAATGCCATTATTATCTTATCACTAAACTCGGCCAAATGACAAACTGCCCTCTCTAAAACGCTCCTTTTTGAGGGCCAAACTGCAAAGTTCGGGCTGTAAATAGAAGTTGCAGCCCGCAACATGATTTCATGTTATCAATCTTTCCTTATGAAATAAATTGTACGATTTGGCCTCATGTATTGATAATAATGATAATCACATGACTTTTGGAGGGCATATAGTTTATTTGTGTCGCTCGTAGCATCATTTGCACCCTCGCTCCGCTCGGGCGCAAATGATGCTACTTGGACCTTAAATAAACTATATGTCCCCCCAAATTAAACCTATTGCATAGAATTTTTCAGGTTTTAGCTTACGCTACTAAGGAACTACTGACCTCACTGCGCAAAGTCACATTCTCTAAATCCAATTTTCCGAGAAAGTGCAACGTGAGCACCGAGTAAAAAGTATGGAAGGTCGTTGTCAAGAACAAAGATTATTTCAGTACCAACTTACCGCACACAACCGCACACACATAACGATGATGATAATATTAATTTGTGATCATCATAATGATGATGCTGTCAAGAATAATGACAATGTCTTATTATAATATTAAATACGTAATGTATAGTTCCAGAAAATACCCATACCCGCCGCAACGGAAATTCTTAGGGGAGGGTAGGGGGGTTCAAAAGGAGGCAATTTCCGAAGGGTGGGTAGGGTTCTGTCTAGGATTGATCGTTTTGCGGGGAGAAGTCCCTTAGTGGCCTGGCCACAAGGTTTCTAGGGGGGGTCCGGGGGCATGCCCCCTGGAATTTTTTTGAAATAAATACGCGCTTAGATGCAATCTGGTGCATTTTGAGACACGAGGCTAATGCGGGTCAACTTCTTTAAAAGAACAAAAACAAACATAGGTAATTTGCCGCTGAGTCGCTGGAAAAAGATAGAAATCTTAAAAATAGTAAGATTTCAAAGCTTAAACTTTACCAGCAAGCGAAAGGGATATCTGTTACAAACAACAAAATTGTGGGAAAAGCTGATCGTACTTAACAGAAGAAAATTGAAAAGCAACGAAGCCAAAAGAAGAAGTAAACTTTTGAAGCTTGAAAAGGGTAAAGTTTGTTAAAATGACAATATTTTATTCCCTTTAATTATCTTGCTTTTTAGTATTCTATTTTACTCGTGTAAATCTGTAAAATGGAGTTTAAACTGCGCAGGATATGGTCTGTATAAAATTCTTTGTTCGAATTCTTGTCGAGTGAAATGTGCGTACGTTTGTCTCCATGTGACTGAATATTTTGATAAATAATTTAAGTTTATGTATAAATAAACTTATACTATTTTATCTTCGTTTAAACCGATTTAACTTCCTTACAGTGCAAGGAATTTATGCAGAACGTCTGCCCCGTCGGCTTATTTTTTTTTCAAATACCTGACAAGATTTTGCATTCCCTCCGTTAGAAACATGTCAACTAAAATGAAGAATTCAGTTTAACTTGCGGGCTTTCGACAAGTACGTACACTCCATACCAATGGAAGGTATGGTTTTAACCATCGATGAAAATAACATTAAAATGGCTACAGGTATTACCTTGTTTAAGGATTTTGAAACCATCTTCGCATTGTTATTGAACTCATCACTCACCTACCACCATTTCGGTCAATTTCTGGTTAGGTTCTTTGTTTTTCTTAGTGATGACGAGCTGATTTTTCTTTTGCTGTTTGAAACAGTGATTTCTCAAGCCTGTAAGTAAGCTTTGAGACCTCCAAAACCTTTCAACTTCTCAAATTTTCCCTTTTTTGGCAAATCAGCTGCAGTTTCCTCATGTTTGTTTGTCTTCTTGGTCGGGGAAGTGACCCGCATTAGCCTCGTTTTGGCGCAAAAACAATCACTCGTCCTAGGCCGCCCGGGAATACGAAACTCGCCTATTGAAAGCGCCGCCGACTTGTGAACTTGGGATGCAGTCATACTACAAGCTTGTGTTGACCATGTTGACCATATCTTTTGCATCCGAGTGCAGTGTAGACTATGGAAAGCGTGCTTGACGACTGTTTGGCACAGTTTACGATTTGTTCGCGGCAGTGAAACTCAAACAAAGAGAAAAGAACGTGGTATTAGTAACATCGTCGTTACGAAGTATTGTCAATGATAGAGTTGAAGCAGTGCAGCTGGCATGTCAGCCATTGCCTTTACCTTGCCGTGGAACTGTGAGGTGATGCTGACATTCTTTTAAACCGAAAGCTATCATCGTTGTGCTCGCTTTTTTGAAAGCTGGTTTTAATAAAAGAAAATTTAGCCCAGGTCCTTCTAACCTTATTACTGCAAGGCGAACAAACCCTACTTGACGGGGGGGAACGGGATGATTGCCCAGTACTATCGACGTATAAACAGCACCCAAATATCCTACAATAATCCGATGGGCCGATTTGTTCCGGCTTCGGACCTCTTTTAGCCGGCTTTTTTTGGCGTTGAAGCAGTCTGAGAAGACATGCCTCAAAAAACACGCGACTCCGAGTGTCATCGTTGTTTGATCTTTTGCGTATGTAAAATACTTAAGCCAATTACACGAGCAATCGTTGGTTCAATTTAATTGGTGCTGCGAACGTGGAGGTTATAATGATGAGGCGTTGACATGGGCGAGGGACTTAATAAACCTCTTTTTTCGCAACTGAAACGCCTACAGACGTTCTTTATTTTTCTTTCTCGCGCTCTGCGCTCGCCGATTTTTTCGAAAAGAACGAAAAGAAAAATAAAACAACGTCTGTGTACAGGCAATTTTAGCCCTTGCTAAATCTATATATTCATAGAATCAGAGACAGATTTATTAAAAGAATGAGTGGATTGCACAGAACGCAGTTTGATCACGCGCGTTTCGACCTTCTACCCTTCGTAATCTGATCACGCGTGTTTTGACCATTTGTCACGAGAAACGTACGCAAAGGACTCACTGCGTTGGAGCAAAAGCGTTTGACCTTAGATCGTTGTCGCCCGCACTCCGTAACCTTTGCTTATTATCATTTTATTTATGGGGCATCGAATTTTGCTACTGGCTAATACCAGGCGCGGTTAGGAGGCTGCGCGCGCGACGAGATTATAAACTCTCTACACTCGGAAAAATGTTTAGATACAATCATTAAATATCTCAAGAATGAATATGTAAGCCAAGACCAAAATGCTAGTCACTTTAGGCTGTTATTTGTGGTTGTGGGATTACGTTTTAGTCAGCTTCTTGACCAAGCCAACATGGTTTGTTTTATTTAAAATACAGAGTCCGGAATAGAAAACGTAATCACCGAGGGACCAGGAGGGTACAAGACTGTTGTAGAATTTCGATGTAGCAGCAATGGTTTCACTGATTCTGATTGGAAAGATTTGAGTGAGAAAAGCGTGAAACAAGCATGCACGGCTGTTAAAGAAGCATTAGAAGCATCAGGACGTCAAGTGGTTGGTGTGCGGCCAAGCGAATCAGTTCTTGTCGAATTGCATTGTTGTACGAAGGAAAGTTTCGTCTCTTTGATGGATGACTTTGAATCAGGAAAAGTTAAGCGACGGTTGGAAGAAGAATTTGAAAAAGTTGGATACAAAGGAGAATTGGAAGTGACTATCATAAATGGAAGTGATGTCTACAGGGCACTGGATCAGATAAGGTAATGAAATTGCTTATTGATTATTCTTCTTTTTGAGAACAACGGCAACGAAGTGTCAAGCGAGTCCTACATTCCTATAAAATCCTATTTTTTCAGGCCCCTCCTATAAAGTCCTATATTAAATTGAGCAATTCCTGTATTTTCTTATATTTTAAGCCTTTTTCAAGAAATATTTAAAAATTTAAATAATTGTTTGATTGGTAGTTAAAAATCCACAATCCAGGAAAGTTTTATGCCGCAAGGATGTGTTTGCTACACCTCAAAATGCAAAATGTTCTTTAAATTTGTGCCGAGGCTTCCTCTTAACTTTTGGCGGCGTACAGTGGATAGTGGGTTGACTGTGGGGGGTCCATCTTTCACGTGCTCGTGGGCGCCATCAAACCAAATTGAAACAAATTTTCAGAAGAAACTGTAAATGGGTTGCGTACTACCAAGGATATGATCAAGTTTACTGACTCACAGTTACATAGGCCAGAGAGAATCCCTGTAGGAGGGTCTGAATGGGGGTACGTCCATAACACTAAACACTTAATTTTTTGACTCTGTAACGTAAAACAGTTAAATTTTAGGCATTTTAACACTAACAGTAAAAAATTCTATGTAACACTAAATTTTGTCCTGAAGGAGACAAAAACGGCTCCAAAAAGGGCAGTGTTATTTTGTTCAGTATGTCAAGAAGTTTTCGACCACTTTCCGACGATTCCCGATCATTTAGGAAGATTTCCAAAGATTTCCGCAGATATCTGAACACTACCGAAGTTTTCCAAGGTATTTCCATTTCCCACCGCTGTTGCGAAACAATGCTTCTAATTCTCCGTTTTTCCGTTGCAACTACGCCGCAATCTGGATAGTTTTAGCTTAAAATCCGCCATGCCAAATCTCAAAGCAAGCTCGTCAAGCCCAAGAAATTCCCTCAGATGTTTCTTGACAGCTACCACGCTGAATTGCTATGAAAGGTCAAAAGTGACCCAGCTTCTATGCCTATCGAAAGCAGAATCCTCCCCGCTTTTATAGAAGCTCACTAGGACTTTTACAACACCGGAGGAGAATCCTCTCGATGCCGCCATCGCCGCCATGATGTTTTAACTTCGGCCTCGACGCTGACCAAGGATCGTGGGCTCCTGGCACGAGATTGGTACCCAGGACTCCCCAGGCTTCCCAGAATGCTGTTGCGCATGGGTGCAAAAAAGAGACTACAGCTACAGCCCCTTTGAGCACGGGCTCAAAGTTCATAGGTAATTTGAGTAGAGCTAAAAGACTAACAGAGTTCAACAACTTCTTATTTACAGGAGGGTTTGAATGGGGTTTAGTGTTATTTGCCCGTAATGTTTAGTGTTTGCTGTTAAATTGGTCAATTTTTCAATGTTTACTGTTTCCGGAGAAAATACTGTTAAGTGTTTGAAGGGTTTTTCGTGGAAACCCCATAGTCTTTTAGCTCTGCTCAAATCACCCATGAACTTTGAGCCCGTGCTCAAAGGGGCTGTAGCTGTAGTCTCTTTTTTGCACCCATGCGCAACAGCATTCTGGGAAGCCTGGGGAGTACTGGGTACCAATCTCGTGCCAGGAGCCCACGATCCTTGGTAAGCGTCGAGGCCGAAGTCGAAACATCATTGCGGCGATGGCGGCATCGAGTGGATTCTCCTCCAATGTTGTCAAAGTTCTAGTGAGCTTCTATAGAAGCAGGGAGGATTCTGCTTTCGAAAAGCGTAGAAGCAGGGTCACTTTTGACGTTTCAAAGCAATCCAGCGTGGTAGTCGTCAAGAAACATCTGAGGGAATTTCCTGGGCTTGACGAGCTTGCATTGAAATTTGACTCGGCGGATTTTGAGCTAAGACTATTCAGATTGCAGTGTAGTTCCAACGAAAAAACGGAGAATTACATCATTGTTACGCAATAGCAGTGGGAAATGGAAATACCCTGGAAAACTTCGGTAGTCTTCGGATGTCTTCGGAAATCTTCCGAAATGATCGGGAATCGTCAGAAAGTGGTCGAAAACTTCTTCATATACTGAAAAAAATAACATTGCCATTTTTAGAGCCGTTTTTGTTTCCTTCTGGATAAAATTTACTGTTACAGAGAGTTTTTCACTGTTAGTGTTAAAATGCCTAGAATTTAACTGTTTTATGTTACAGAGCTAAAATATTAAGTGTTTAGTGTTATCGAGGTACCTCCATTAAGACCCTCCAATAACACTTTTGGGTATTCATATTCGTCATTCGGCATACAAAAGAGAAAAATATACTTTCATACATCCAAGTCATTATCACGCGATCTTGAAAGTCAATAGGGACAATAGGCAAACATTAAAGTGCCAACACTATGATTCATTAACATTTTTATGACACTGTTTGCGATTCAATAGCATTCCTGGACGGCCTTTAAGGATGGATTAGACAAACATTAATGCGTTTGTACGATCAATTGGGTGTTCTTTACAATTAATATACAAAAAGTGATTTTCAATTTGCTGGAGCCCCATGTGAAGTTAGCCTCAGATACTGAGCGAAGTAATGGTTCTCTCCAGGCCCCAGTTGTTCATTAAAAGTTGGATAGCGCTATCTGTTGGATAAATTACTTTCCAGCGGATATGTTACGAGTCAAATTTAATTTTAGGTTAATTTTGATTTAACCTAGATTGATTCTCAATTTCCTTTGTCTCCTAATCCTAGGAGACAAAGGAAATTGGTAATCAATCTAGGTTAAAGAAATTTAAAACTGAACTTGGTAAGTGAAAGGCGTACCGTTTGTCAATAAAAGGTATTCAAAAGAAGTACCCTTTCAATCAAAAATGTTAAATGAAAGGGTGAGGGGTTGGACCTCGGGGCGGAGCCTCCCCGCATAAAAACTCTGTTGAGGCCCCTCCGTGGGGCTGACACGTCGTAGCCTTTCCGTTTACTCGAATTCTGTTTGCATAACTGCTCATACATCTTATTAGGCCCGGAGCTTTAAGTTTATTTGCATGATATAGTTAGATCTGGCTTTTCGTTATCATAGCTCAAGGCTGCTGCCTAACGTAACGGGAGCCCGGGAGCCTGAGGCTCCTACTATTTACCCTCGGGCGACCAAAATTTCAAACAGGGAGCCCGAACGGGCGCCTTAAAGTTATGATTCTCAGACTAACTTCCAGTGAACGAACAACAAAATTCCCTGCTCGTTCTGCACTTTTGAAATGACAACGGAAAACGTTTGATCGTCGGCCACAGACAAAAAAATATTTCTGCCAATAAAAGGTAAACAAACAGCAATGTCTTGAAATTTGCTTCTGTGACTTCCGCTGCAGAGCAGTTGAAGTTTCTCGTCTGAAAATGGCGTTGAATGAATTTAATAGTCTTAGAAAAACCTGATCGATAATAAAATCATGACTTATCCTTTAGTGTTAGAAATGTTAGGTCGCTACTGCATGAAATAAAAACTGATAAGATTTAGTCGCGATCCGTGGAAAAGCAAGCGGGTTTCATTCTGACCAATCCTGTCAGAGTTGCACTCACAAAAAAGGTAACATTTTGGGGGAAAATCCATGCCAATTTCGCTGTTTACATACTACAGTCGACTCCCGATAACTCGAACCTTCAAGGGAAATCGAAAAAAGGTTCGAGTTTTTGGGAGTTCGAGTTATTGAGAATAGCCGAGAGTATGATAAAAAACAGTTTTTACTGCACAGTGAACATTGTAATCACATTAATTGTAGAAATGTCAAGTGAAAATTAAAAGATGCTTCTCGATTATAAAACAGAACGTAACGTAACAAAACATAGCCTAAATAGAGCATGCATTTTACTGTTTTGAGAAGAAAAGGTGCTTCACGTTAGCCTGTGACAATCAACATCAGTCTCCACTAGTAAACTATACTCCTACAACACGTCAACAGGAAATCCAAAATTCAATGTTCCGGACGCCCGCTTTTTTCCCGACTTTTTAAGGGTTCAAAACATGGTTCGAGTTATCGAGGGTAAAATTATATAGAAAATGACCTGAGGGGAAACGAAAATTGGTTCGAGTTAGCGGGAGTTCGAGCTATCGAGGGTTCGAGTTACCGAGGGTAAAATTACAGTGAATGTATGACGGAAATCCGGGGGAAATCGATTTTGGTTCGAGTTAGCGCGAGATTCGAGTTAGCGAGGGTTCGAGTTATCGGGAGTCGACTGTACTCTTTGAGGATTAAATTTGCCCCTTTCCTAATGTGTTAGCCAGCCACAAACCCATTCAAAAGAAGGACGATAAAGTGGGTAACAAAACTGCTAATAAACAAGAAAGGCAAAGGAAAAAAGAGAGCAAGAGAGAAGGATCGAAATAGATTCGCAAAAAAGGTCTAAATTTTGGCTTTTTCGCATGCATGCATGACAAACAAAAAAGCGGATTAGTCGAAAAATATGCCTTTTTTCTTGCAAAACCTATTTTTAGCCATTCTTATGCTAATTAGCCGAAAACTTGTCCAAAGAAGAGCAATTGGTGAAAAATGCTGTTTTTTCGGTACTCACTGGCTGTCACCAAAGGGTTAATAAAGCTACTAATCTTTTTTAATAGACCTTTTTACCGATACGGCGGCCATATTGAATTAATTTGATTTAAGGAGTATTATAGGATGCCCAGGGGGCATGAGCACATTTCGTTTGTATTTTCGAGCGCTTTCCGGGACATTCTTTCTTAAAGTTTTCTTAGAATAAGATTGTAATGGGAAAAAAGATCCTTGTCCCGTGTTTTGATGTAATAATGATAGCTTTTTTTCCCAGAAATATACAGTGAGAGACCATATTTCTAATACTAAACTAGAAAAAGGCGATCATTATTACATCCAAACACGGCACAAGGATCTTTTTTCCCATTAGAATCTTATTCTAAGAAAAATTTAAGAAAAAATGTCCCGAAAAGCGCTCGAAAATACAAACGAAATGTGCTCATGCCCCCCTGGGCACCCTATAATACTCCTTAAATCGAATTAATTCAATATGGCCGTCGTATCGGTAAAAAGGTGTATTGGGCCCCTAGAAATGCAGCTCGGGCTCCTAACGTTTTATTTTAGGAGCCCTTCGGGTTCCTAAAAAATTTTCTTAGGCAGCAGCCTTGATAGATAAATAGGAAACCTCTGTAGAAGATTGAGGGAAGATATTTTTGCTTTTTTAAGAACGTGGATGGCCATTAGCAAGAGGGAAGGTGAAATAGCTGCGGCTGCGGATGGTGAGTGCATAAAATTGTCCTATTTTATCCAGGGTAATTCGTGTAACAGCAAGTTACAACAAGTGACTTATCATCGTCTATAGTACCCATCAGTATTTAAATTATCTTGTATGTAAGAGAACTTTCTTTCACTTTTATTGATGTCTATAAAAATAATAAATTAACTTCACAAAAACATAAACATACAATTTTCAAGTTTCAACATCCTCCACTCGCAAATAGCTCGGCTAGACTAATCGAGGTGGGCTGTGGGAAACATATAGTGCACATTCACTGGGAGGAAAAAAAAAAGAAAAAGAGAACAGAACTATAAAATACACAAGAAGATACGCTGTAAGTTTTGCCGATACAAGCTATCGAATACTTAGTGAAGACGAAAATGAGTGGCATCGAAAAAAAGAAAGTAAACAGGAGGAACACATGCAACATTTGCTCCATAAAACATATAACTAGGATGTTTCTGGACGTTTCACGACAGTGACCAGAAAACCACTCGACTAGCTTCAAAACGCGCGTTTTTCGGCAAAATCGCCAGGGACGAATGGGTTAAGCTGCATTTTGTGAAGTTATCGAATTCCTGTTTAGGAAGTTTCATTTTTCATGGAACTTTATACAACTACTGCAGGAATCTGAGGTCCCTTCGCAGAAAGGATATAGACTCATTTGGATGTGGCAGATGTTGCAACCGTTCGATAGGATGTCTCATCCGTTAACAACGTATAGGCCTTCAGTTTGTATCTTATTACTTTTACTTTAAGGTACGAACTGTGGGATTATGTTATCTTTTTTCACAATATTACATAACATGCTTTCGTAACTTGACATCAATTTATTTTCACCTCGTATATATGTAGCCCTTCAAACGTTAATAATTTTATCCAGATTTGATTTATTATTTTTGTACCGTACAATGAAGAAGCCCATAGGGTGAAACGTTTTCACGTCTAATAAAAAGCGAAACAGTTGAAAAGTTGGAGACCTCTGTTTAATCTCATTTATATTTCTATATAAACAGCTAATCAGAATGGTTAAAATAGCAGATGTCTATAATTGATGTTTTATTTTACGCTATCAGTACCGTTAGATATTCAAGCCCGAGGTCACCTGGCCACGGAAGTCTACAATAGAGAACTCAAAGAAGGGCAAGGTTACGCCAGACGAGTGCCAATCATGATAATTGGGCAAGCTCGGACAGGGAAGACAAGTCTGAAGAAGTCTTTAAAGGGGGAATTGTTTGATCCATATGAAGGAAGCACAGAAGGTATAGAGACAGTTCCTTCCTATTTTAAAGTCACGACAGACATCTGGAGAACAGGCAGAAATGGCGAAGATACTGAAATAGAGCCAGAATTTTTGTTAGACCGCCAGCTAGCCCAGAAATTATGCAAAGGCTTAAAAGAAAAAGAACGTTTAGGGGATCTTAGTTCAAGCGGGACCAAGCCACCAGTTAAAGATTTCCAAGAAGTCGAGCCATCAGAAGCGAATTCACCGCCCACTGAAAGTTCAGGGGAATCTAGAAGTAACAGGTTCGAACCGTCACTTCAAGATTCCAAAGCAGTCGAGAATGCCAAAGCCCCTTCATTACCTACAGAAGTTTCTGTAGAACTAGAGGAACTTAAAACCAGGTCATTAGTTACAGAGCAGATTGAGGGCAATCCACCACCTCAAGACTTCAAAGATCATCAAAAAGTACCAGAAAACGTAGCAGTTTGGGTTGAAAAGCTGCTTAAAGAGAACAAAGAGTTTATGGAGGGAGACGACATGTATTCTGTCATTTGGGATTTTGGAGGACAGTCTGTTTTCTACGACACCCATCCAATTTTCTTGACAGAAAAGGCCATCTACATTTTGACTTGTGATCTAAGTTGTGATCCGGAAAGCAAAGCCGACACTCCTGTGAAACAAGGCAGGTACAACGAATTACCTGACAACTACTGCGAAAATACAAACTTCGACTACCTTGATTTCTGGATGTCATCAATTTATTCTTTGGTTAGCAGTAATACTAACCGTCACCTGCAGTTTTCTTGGCTTGTACGCATGCTGACAAGCCTTACACTACAGAAGGTAATCCCTCCAAAGAAATCTTTGGAGCTTTGCGAGAGAAAATTTATGGGTCTCTTCTCGAAGACTTTTTTGTCGTGGACAACACGAAGTCAGGCAGCAGTGATGAGTGCGAAGGCGTGAAAAATCTGAGACAAGCAGTGCTTTCTGTTGCCGCGGAGCTTCCACAAATGAAAGTGCCTATTCCTTTAAAGTGGTTAAGGTATGAAAAGGTTTTGTATCTGATGAGGGAGGAGGGCCTTGCGAGAATATCCATTAAGGACGCACGAAAGATAGCTTCAGAAAAATGCGGAATTGACGGCGATGAAATCTTTCGAACAGTACTTGACTTCTTACACGATCAGAAAGTTTTGATTAATTTTGATGAATCACCGGGATTGGAAAGCATGGTCATTTTGAACCCCCAGTGGCTCGTAGACGTGTTTAAGGAAGTAATCACGTTCCGAGGTTTCAATCACAACGATGAAAACGTTGAGGGACTGTGGTGTGAATTTGAGGAAAGTGGAATTTTAAAAAGAGAGCTTTTAGATCATGTATGGAAACGCTTCATTGATGATCAAAACACCTGCGAGAGCCTCATTGAAATGATGGAGAAATTTAGTCTGATTTGTCAATGGCCATCAGAAGGGACCACGGAGCGGTATCTTGTACCATCCATGCTGAAGTCCAAACCAACAAGTAAATTTCCCAGTCCCAGTGTGCAATTTCCTTCTCTTTTTGTGAAGTTTAGATCACGCAGAGTGCCCCCAGTCGGAGTGCCCCAAGGCAGAGAGCCCCCAGGCAGAGTACCCCCAGGCCTGTTTTCGAGACTTATTCTTCTTTTTCATCATTGGGTCCAAGACCAGGTGAAGATAAAGCTCAAGAAGAGGAATCAACCGAAGCCATGCAGTAACTATGCTATGTTTCGCATTGTTCCTGAGGATGATATTTCTGCGGCCTTATTGTGTTATTCTTCGTTTATCGAGATCGTTTTTGTCCTCGAAGGTGAATTTCTTGATGAAAGGCGTCTGAATATCAGCCATGGTATTCATCAACAGCTGGGATTGATTCTTGATGGCATGCGCAATGAGTTTTCCTGGTTAAAGCACATGGATTACGAATTGTGTGTCGCTTGTTCTGTGTGCTGTGGGGAGAAGGGCTCGTCCAGCTGTGGTCCTCACGAAAAGCGTGGCTGCGATTGTTTGCATCTGTTTTCAGAAGAGGAGTTAAAGGATCCTGTTTGCGAGAGGGAAAATGCTAGAGCAAGTTGCAGGGTTGCCAAAGAGAAGTTTCATCTTTGGTTTTCTAGTCAGGTTTGTTACTTATATTATACATGTACGATTATACACGATTCGAACTGTCAAAAACCATTACACTTCTTTACAGTGCAACTGCACAAACCTAGGCCACCCAGACAAAATTTGAAATTAACCAATCCAAAGTCGAAATCTTAACAATGAAATTGCTCGTAATTGTACTTTACCTTGTTCTATTTCTGCTCGGCTCTTACTTTTGGAATCTTAGGTTTGGGGATGTTTAGTTTTGGCGGTGGTTTCCTGTAGTGTGGTTTCTTCTTTTGGGAGTGCATTGTCTCAGAAAGTGTGGTTTGTCAGTTTTGGTTAGAAGCGGTGGGCGAGATTAGGGTTAAAATAGTATACGGTGTTAACAGTATACTATTCACAATCGTCTTGCGCAAGCGACTATATGAGGCACATATACCATGGTTAATAAGTTAATCAAGGTGCTTCGCTATTTTGATTAATCGTCGGCGTCAAAAATTTCGTAAAGTCGTGTGACAAATTTTCCGTTTTCTGAAAAGCAGTTTTCGGCAGTCCACGTATTTCATTTCACGACCTTTAAATCGACAAAACATAAATATTGCAAAGTTTAACACATTTTTTGGGCGTTTTTATCTCATTTTCTTCTGTACCAGAAAGTTAAATATCGCAATTAGGAAAGTCTTTGTTCCGAACTGAGGCCGCAAAGCAAACAAGAATCACCGTCATTGCAGGACAAAAGTTTCCAGCCTCATTCCCAGGGCTCTCTCTCTTGCTTCGAGAAAGAAACCTGGTTGCGGGTGGTCATGTGGCTCCTAAAATCTGGGAGCCAAAAATAAGGGAGGGAAGAAGAGTAAATAATTGTCGCTATGACAAAAGTTACTCTGCAGGGGCCTAAGAGGAGTTTCCCGCCTCGTTTATTAGGGACCTTACGATCCTACAACGGCGACGTCCATGGAAACGTCGCTGAAAAAGAGACTTCGCATCCTTTTAAACTTTTTCGCGATTATCCCAATTCGCCCTGTTACTTAAAAGACGGGAATTTTGGTTGGAGCTGAAGAGGGGGGACCGCGCCCGAGTTCAGACAGAGATGGTAGAATTTATCGCCTTGCCGTTCCCGTTCTCAAATAAACTTAAAATTTGGTCATTTCACGTCATAGTTGTGCAGGGACAACAAAAAAATGTACAAAAAAGCGTGATGCACGTGCAGAGTTGTTGTTTTGCTCATTAAACCTATCATTTTTTTTTATGTTCTCCTTGCCGTTGCCGTCATAGTTTCGTAAGGTCCCTATTATCAGCTGATGGCGCGGGTATTTGAAATGTCAACAAAATCCGGAAAAATAGTGTTGCATACTGCAAAAGGGAGAACCCTGGGAATGAGTGTGGCTTTTA